AGGAAGGTGGTAAGTTGCTCTGACTTGATTCAGTGCGAGGAGCCAGGTGCCATGGCCTTGCTGGGGACAGGGATTCAGGAGTTGGGCTTTGTGCAGTGTGTCTGAGACTTCTCAGGCCTTGTACTTTCGCTGTACAGGTTTGTGCCTTGGTTAACAACCGAGGGGGTGTGTGTGTGTGTGTGTGTGAGAGTGTGTGTGAGAGAGAGAGAGAGTCTCCCTCCCTTCTGTGTTCCTTGGCTGTAGCACTAACCTCTCAGCCCAGAAAGTGTGAAGCTTCCTCCTGCCTTTCTCTGGGGTTTTCACTGTAATATGCTCTATATAATTTGACCCCCTCCAACCTGTCCTGCAGCTCCGAGGCCTCTGTGTGGCTTCTTCCCTCCCTTGCTCAAGGAAAAGCACAAATGCCCCGCCCCCAATATGCTTGCTTTTCATACTCGCGCAATCAGCCCCATTGGTTTTAGATGAACAAGCTGTTTGGCAGAGACCAGAAGGATTCGGCTGTGGTCTCTAAACCATGTGGTCAATGGCAGAGAGCAGAGCCAAAGCCGGCCCTCAGTGGCACATGTCCCCATAATCTTTAATGAGCTACTGCCTCCAGAGACTACAGTCCTCAGCCTGTAATGCTCCATTAACGTTTGGAGTGGGTGCCCTCTGTTCTTTGGGACCTAGAGTCTCTGCAGGCAGGCACTGCTTCCATCCAGGCTGAATATCCTGTGCAAAGAGCTGTTGTTTTTGCAGGGCTGCACCTCTGCATTGAAGAGGGTGACTACAATCCTGCTTTACTTCTGCAAAGTAGGTGTAGCCTGAGGTCTCCCGGCCGGGCAGCCCTCTGCTTGGTGAAGCATGAGTGGAACAGACTTTATTAAACGACCTTCTGAGGGAGAATCACAGACACACATCCTGTCACCGGAGCATGTTAAATATCACAGGGAAGGTCACTGCTGGGGCTGACTGTATCCCAAGATCAGCAGCTGGGGGAGGGTGTCTGATGAGCCAAGGACGGATTGGTCCCAAGAAGGCACATTGTCAAGAGGGTATGGTTGTGGTCAGGAAGCTTGTACTGTCCTTTTCTATGCTTTCCAACCTGTAGGAGCATTCGGATGCCTGCAGCGGCCAGGGCAGCCAGTCTGCTGCTTGTTTCTCCATATCTCTGCTTTAGCAAGCCGCTGACCTTGCTGATATGGCCACACTGAGTGTGAAGCCAGGACAGAGATTTACAGTCCCAGACTGGCACATCAATGCTAACCTCATCTCTACGAATGCTGAGCGTCAGCGTTCTGCTTCCCATCAGATCAGGCAGGAAACCAGGACTCTCCGTAATGAAACTAACAACCAGGTGGGCTTCCCAGCTGCTTCACTGCCCTTTTTGTTTGTTAAAACAGGTTTTGGGGTGTGTATGGGCAGGGAGGTAGGTAGGGGGTAAAGATTTGGCTGGCTGAATGGATTGGGATGGGAAAGTTTGTCCCTTTTCAACCTTCAGATCACTGACGCGGACCTACGCCGGTAGTGATGGAGGGTTGTTGGGAAATGCTTATTTAGTGAGAAATTAGCAAAGCCGGGTGAAAATTAATCTTCCAATAAAATTAGTTGTAACTGATAAACTAATTTGATTTGGTCACGTTCTCACCCATTTTGTGTTTACCTTCTGCAAACGTATTGTCAGATCGAGTTTTACCAGCAAAACTGGATTAAATATACTGGAAAGTTCTCACATTCACTTCTGATACTTTCACACCAGAAATCTGGTTAGAACAGCTTCTTCCATCCAGTCATGGGATAGAAGCAGTGCCATCTGACCTGTGACCAATCACAGCTGAGCAACAGAGCTTAGGTTTTGGCATCTGAATAGCAAGGCACAGGGTGAACAAAACTTGTGTGAAATCGTCAAACTTTGAGTGAATGAATATGAGAAAATCCCAGTCTTGCTTTGTTGACTAAGGCCACATCTCTAGCGCTTACGTTGGCAAAATATATGTCGCTCAGGAATGTGGGGAAAAAACCCACCCCTGAGTGCCCTAAGTTTTGCCGGTATAAGTGGTAGTGTGCACAGCACCATCTTGGCAGGAGAGCTGCTCCCGCTGAAAGAGCTACCGCTGCTCATGGAGGCTTTATGATGTCGTCGGAAGAGCTCTCTCCTATCGACATAGAGTGGGTACACAAGTCCAGCTGTGCTGCTGTAAGCTCATTAGTGTAGACATGGCCTAAGTTATTTGCTGTGATTTATCCGCTCATATCTCGTACTCGTTTATTCAGTTTTTAAAGCCAAAAGGGACCATCCCAATCATTTAGTCTGAGCTCCTTTGCTAATGACTAGAATAACTTACCTAGGGAGCTGGTGGATTCTCCATCGCTTTCAGTCTTTAAATTTGTTCCTGGGCAACAAGTATTTGCCAACGGACTCTTCAGACTGGAAGAATCCAACAGCTGGAAGTTGAAGCTAGACAAATCCACACCTGAAATAAGGTGCACGTTTTGAACAGTGAGTGTAATTAACCCTTACAAGGATTAACTAAGGGATGTGGTTGATTCTCCATCACTGTCAATTTTTAAATAGAGTAGATTTTTTAAAAATATATGATCTAGTTCAAAAGGAATTATTTTGGGGACTTTCTCTGGCCTGTGTTGTACAGGATGTCAAACTGGATGATCACAGTGGTCCCTTCTGGCCTTGGAATCTGACTGTGTAAGTCTGGGTGTCTTTCTAAAAGATCTCCTATGGATCAAACAGAATTTACAGGCTTGATGCAGAAGTGGTTGGGGGGAAGTTCTTTGCTTTGTGTGGGGCAGGAGATCAGACTGAATGATAACAATGGGACCTTCAGGCCTTACTCTGTGAATCTTTGCTTTGCTGGTGGGTCTTCCATGGCATTTGGACTGGAGACCCATTGGCATCATAGGTAAGAATCATATTGCTAGGCCAGGTTTCAGAGAAGCAGCCATGTTAGTCTGTATCCACAAAAAGAAAAGGAGTACTTGTGGCACCTTAGAGACTAAGAAATTTATTTGAGCATAAGCTTTTGTGAACTACAGCTCACTTCGTTGGATGCATGCATGTAGCTCACGAAAGCTTATGCTCAAATAAACTTGTTAGTCTCTAAGGAGCCACAAGTCCTCCTCTTCTTATTGATAGGCCAGTGACCCGTGTTATGGCTTAGTCCCCTTCCCAGTTGGGTAGGAACCTACATAATGAAAACCACCAAACTAATTGACAACGATTGGCACACCGGTGAGAAGGTGGAAGCTCACAGCCTGAATTTAAGGCACAATAGGTTAAGGCAAAGTAACTGACATTGGGAGTTATTTATAGAGAGCAGTAAATGTGTAAAAGGCAAGAGGGATTCTGTGATAATGATAACTGATACTCTCCTTTTCCTGCTCCTCTCTCTGCTGAAGCACAAGTCACAGTTCTTCTCCCCCGCTCCCCATAAAGGTATTAACACTGCGTTAAACCTCAGAGCTATAATATACATATCCCTGAATGCAGGTGTTAACAGTTCCCAGTCAGCTGCAAAGAGACCATTTCTTCGTAAACAAACATTTAATACACACAAAACTCCGCATTGTAAATAGTGTGTGTGGAATAATTTAGGAATAACTTTAGACAAACGCTCTTCACCAGTAAACCTGTAGAGGTTCTTTGTACAGATTTCTGCATTTTGCTGCTGTTACATATATTTCAGTGTGAGGTTTGATGTGCCCTTTTATAGGAGAGCTGGAGACAGCTCTGTGGACTCAGCAGCAGTTACAGTTCCCAAGCCAATAGTCAGCTGTCTCCTCAGTTTCCAGCTGGACTGGGAATCTGCAGCCTGTATCCCAAGTGATACAGTTACTGGGATGCAGCCTTCACAACAGATGCATCTCTTTATTTAGGTTGGCCATTAGGAAATACTTCCTAACTGTCAGGGTAGTTAAGCACTGGAATAAATTGCCTAGGATGGTTGTAGAATCTCTGTCACTGGGATTAAGAGCAGGTTGGACAAACACCTGTCAGGGATGGTCTAGATCAGAGCTACTCAAAGTGGTGGTCCACGGACCGGTGCCGGTCCACGAGCCATCGGCTGCTGGTCTGCGTGCATATTGGGAAAAAAAAATTGCCAGGCCCCACATTAGATAACTTGAGAAGCACTGCTCTAGGTAATACTTAGTCCTGCCTTTAGTGCAGGGACTGGACTAGATGACCTCACGAGGTCCCTTCCAGTTCTATCGTTCTATGATTGGTCCTGCACTGATCAGCTGCTGAATCCACAGATCTGTCTCCAACTCCTCTATTTGTAACCTTTTCCCTCTGTGCTCTGATTAGCTGAGCTGGGTGACTATGTGGAACCTGCAAGATTGCTTACCCTCAGTGGAAACCCTTGCTCTGCACTGCTTCAGAAGCAGCTACTGTGCATGTCTAATAACGGCCACACCCTGGGCTCTTCTAAGTTGCCGGGCTTTCTGTATGCTTTTGTCCTCTCCACTGCCCCCTCCCTATCTTTGGATTTATTAAAAAAAAAAAAAAACAAAAAAAAAAAACCCCCACACAGGCTGCAGTATAAACATGTGGGTTATAAGTGCGAATGGCAGTTGATTAGCAGTGTCCTCTGACATGCTATTTACCTTCATCTAATGCTTCATGGTCTTTGTGTGAGTTTTTGCAACACCCTAGGGACTCTGTGAATAAATCTATCTTGGATCCCCCATTGGAATTGTTGCTTCTGGAAGACCAGCATAGTCTTGCTTCTAGAGAAGTCCTTGGTGCAATTAATAAACCACAGCTTACAGGAGGTGAAATCATACATAGGCACTGATTTTTAGGTGTACAAATATTATAATGGGGACTCTGGGTTTGATGCTCTTGTGTAGTTATTTACATTAGTGCATTAGGTGTAATATACTGTGCTACCAAAACAAATGGTAGTACTTTGCCCTGGTAAAAAATGCAGGCCCTTGTCAGCATGGTGAAATGCACTTCACAATTTCAACGAAAAAAATTGAAATGGTGTTTCTCCTAATTCCAGACACAATGGGATGAGCATGACAACAGAACACGGCTTGCTGAACGTATCGACAGTGTGAACAGATGGAAGGAGACTTTGGACAAATGCCTCACAGACACAGACACTGAAATTGATGCCTTAGCCAAAGTACGGTGGGAAGACAGATGGCTTAAACTCAACATATGCTCTTAACATGTGACTTTAAACAGCTAAGGCCCTGATTCTGCAATGAGCTGTGCATGGACCGACTCCAATGTGGGGCTTAGCACCAGCGCTCTGAGCTCAGTGCAGGATCAGGGCCTTAAATTGCTTTCAGTAAGACAAGCCCACTAGCTTCAATTCCCATCTGAATTGAGGCAGTGCACAGTGCTGTGTGTTTCAGATAGTCTGCCCTCTCTTTTTCGAAAGGTCTGGCAGGGGGGACATAGCAATACTTTAAACACTAAAATAAAAAAAAAATAGGGAATAATAAGTGGGTTTTAAAAAATATTTATGTAGGAGCTCAGCAATTTTAGGCAAGAATAATTAAAGTTGTCTTTATTTGAGACCTCTTTTAAATTAAGAAGTTTGCATCTTTTTTTACAGTTAGAATGAGGAGTTTGTGTCTCTGTATTAAGCACAGTTTTAATAAAGGCTACATCTATTTTGTGTGTTTTTCCTGTGCATTGCCAGTGGCTCACTGCGGGACCACAGGCAAGCCGCACATTCTTTTGTGCCTGTGTTTTCCCATTTGTAAAGTGGGGATCGAGCTCCCACAGCCGGGGGCCAGACTATTTGCAAAGTGCTCGGAGGTCGTTAATGAAAGGCTTAATGCCAGGGCTGTGATTAACTGGAAATGGGAAAGCATTTCTGGTCCCATAGGACTTGGTGGTCGCCAATGGGAAGAAGCCTCTCTGATCCTTTTGCTCCAAAAGTCATGTGAGATACTTGAGTATGACATTAGCTGCTAGCTGCATTGAGCTTAGCCTCTGAACTGCGGGCCCTATAGACCGCGGCAGTCAGCTGGAGCACCTTGCACCCAGTAGACTGCAGCAGTGAGCCATTCGCTACAAGGTTTAAAAGCTGCTTCCGGAGGTGGCTAGAAGGAGGCCATCGTGACGGGAACAGCCGCAAGCATTGCCCCCCAAAGGAGGGACCGCATCCCTAACCCGAGCTGGCTTTTCCCCCACCAGATGAAGGAGGCAGCGGAACGTGCGCTGCAGGCCAAGAACTTGCCCTTGGACGTGGCGATTGAGTGCTTGACGCTTCGGGAGAGCCGCCGAGCCATTGACGTGGTGAAGGACCCCGTGGAGGACGAGCTGCACAAGGAGGTGGAGGTGATCGATGGAGCCAAGAGAGATCTGCAGCAGAAAGTGAGCGAGGCCTTCGAGCAGCTCTGGTGAGTCGAGCAGCAGAGCTCGGGGTGGTTCCCCCCCACGCCGGTGACTCCAAATCATCTCTCTCTGTATGGGGCTTTGGGCTAGCAGGGCGCACCCCTGCCTCCGGGCTGGCCAGCGTCCGAGCAGAGAGCATGCTCTGTGGCCCCGCGGCGACGTAGGCAGTGTTACACATTGTGTCAGCATCTCATGGCGATGCCCGATAACGTCCCTTGCCAGGATGGGCCCATTAAGAATGAATGTTGGAAGTGCTGCTGGAATCATGACATTTATTAAACAAGGGGAGGGGAGGGAGTAAGTGTGGCAGATAAAAGATAGGCCTGAGCTTTTGCCTGGTGGTTTTGGGGTCCCAACTTGAGACACGTGGCAGGTACCTGATTCTCAAAAGGAGGGGCCGTCGCACTTCCTGAAAATCCAGGCATCTCATGCCCCAAAGCACGAGCCTCTTTCAAAACATTACCCTGCAGTGCCCAGCCTGCTGGGTGCTGCGTCCTTCTGGGTCACTGCCTTACAAGTCACTGCACTTCAGCCACACGCGGGCAGTTGGTTCAAGGAGCAGCTACCAAAGTAAGGGTGGTTCCCATGGAGGATCCAACTGGCCAGCCTGGTGCTATAGAATCTCATCATTCATTCATTTATTTTGTTTTTAAAAAAGCCCAATCAAGTCTCTAGCCCTCATGGTTACCAAGAAAGCTCTGAAAAAGTGAACTGATTTTAGGCCAGTTGGACGGCTGGTCTGGCTCACTGTCTCTGTAGCCTCGGATGGACAAGTAGCTGTGTCCTCTCTGAGTGAATGTGTCTGGCAGCCCATGTCTGAGCCAGGTTTACGCTATCTGCTCGGTCTGCCAAGGAGAGAGATTTTCACTGGCTGTTCCACTAATACTCTTTTCAGCCTGCTGACAGTGACAAATGTAGCTTATCCTGCCCCTTCTTTGGCAGCCTCTTGCAGGAAGCACGCCAGCAGCTCAACTTTGATCACCGGGGGAAAATGGAAGCACTGGAGATAGATCGGGTCTGTTCCTCTCTCAACGTCAACTCTCCCAACATCTCGTTCAAGGTCAATCCAACCCGGGTCCCAATTGGGTAAGGGAAAAACCAGCCTCCTTGTGGCCAAACCCAGGCTGTTTTAACATTCTTGCTGATGCTGGAAAGACTTGGGACTCTTGCTGCCTTTAGTCGAGTTTCTGGTGCCTCATGGAAATGACTGGCTCAGTTAGCAGACAGCCTGGCCTACAGTTTAAAACACCAAGAGCTGGATTCAGGGCTGTCTTAGTGGCTCTGCTGCTAGCCCTGAGTGATATCAGATACGGTAGTCAGGGAAGCTAGCCCTCCATTTCTCCATACTCCCAGTGATTGTTGTTACCAATAACCTTTGGTCCTTCCCGAGCACCCTCCCTCCGCCTGAGTGTTTCAAAGCTCTTTGGGGGCACACACGAGCCTCATGACATCCTTGTGATGTAACTTGATAGCATCCCCATTTTATAGAAGGGGAAACTGAGGCACAGAGGGGGAAGTGAATTGCCCAGCAAGTCAATGGCAGACTTGTGGTGAGAACCCAGGAGATCTGCCTCCCTGTCCCCTGTTTAACCACTAGACCATGCTGGTTTCACAGTGAGGGTAATGATCAGATTACCCAAGGGATGGGGTAAATTCTCCATCTCTTGGAGCCTTTCAATCAATGTTTGGATTTCTCAGAAGATGTTGGGCTCAATGCAGGAATCCCCGGGTGGGATTCCCTGGTCTGTGTTATGCAGCAGGTCAGATGTGATGATCACAGTGGTCCCATCTGGCCCTGTAATCTGAGTCTCTTTGCAATTGTAGAAGGCTTTTCCACCTTGGCATGGAGAGGTTTCTTCCAAGCTCTCTCTTGCAGTCACTCCGCTTATTGCCCAAGGCATGAGTTTAAACAGTCTGTCCTGTTGGGTGCACTTGCCATTCTAGATCAACAACGCCTCAGCAGTGGGACCAGTTCAGCCAGTACAACGCAGACCGAGCGGAGGCGGAAATGAAAGCCTCCACTGAGCTGCGGGAAGCAATAGCCCTCACCATTGCCCAGGTAAATAAGTCACTCATCACCGATGCAGAAGCCATTGGTGCAGTTAATAGACGTTAAGCCTGGTGATGTTAAGTCATGTGGTCCCCAGCGGGGATGGCTGGGTGAAGGCTGCCTGCTTCGTGGGGATTACACTGTGCCTTTTGGGGAGGGAAGGCTTGAAAAATCCAAATCAAAATTAACCCTACAGCACCCATCTGAATAGTTCAGCCAAACTAGGCTTGGACCTGCCATGTGGTGCTACTGGTTCGTGGGAAGGGAAATTTCCTTTGCCTTTCAGATGACTGCTCTTTTCCTGAAGAGTGATTTTTTAAACAGGCAAACGTGCCTCACTATTATTCCTTGGCATCATGAGGGTTTCGCAGCTCTCTACTGATCTCACAAGGCGTGTGCCTTGCCCCAAAGAGCAGAACACACGCTCAAAACGGATCTGGCATGGAGAGCGCTGTAGGAAGGATATGGGCAGAAGCGATTTTGGAAGAGAGGAGGGAGATCTGTTGAAACATTGGGGGATGTGCCAGGAGGCTGTTCCAGGCATTGGGCCCTTCTCAATAGCGCCCCCTATCACTGAGTTATTGTTTCCTTCTTCTCCCCCGTCTGCCTGTCTGTGCATCCGTCTCTTGTCTTTATATTTATGCTGTAAATTCTCTGGGGGCAACTGGGACTGTCTGTTGGTTCTGTGTCTGTACAGCACCTAGCGCAGTGGGGTCCTGGCCCTGACTGGGCTTCTGGGTGTTCTGACCAGACAAATAATAACAAGCGTTGGGGTGATGAAGGGCACAGGGAGACTGTGGAGGAGCACGGGAATGGGCAGACGAAAGGTGAGGTCATGTAGGGCCCTGAAAGCGAGGGTTGTGTGTTATGGAGGGAGCAGGGTAATTGCCTTAACAGTGCAGGGGAGACACTTCCTAGAGGCACACACACGACCTTTAACCTGTTTTCCCTCTAGACAAACAACGAGCTGGAAGCTCAGCGGGTGGCCACGGAGTTCGCCTTGCGGAAGAGGATCCGGGAGTTTGAAAAAGCCTACGACGAGCTGAAATGGCAAGAGAAGAATGTAAATTTCTGGCTTGTTTCCTTCACTGTCCAGTGCCCTTGAGTGAGATTCTATCTTCAGAGCGTATCTCTTGTATGCAACACTGATGGCATGAAATGCTTCCTTGCTGCGGTTCAGCACACTCCAGTGCAAGAGGCGTTTCTGATGGAAACCTCTTGGTACATCCACACCCTGCCACATACCTACCTGCCATGGTTCTCCCAGTGCAATGTGGGACTGCTATGGCATCTATCCCACAGTGTCCAGAATTGTTACCAGGAGCAGCTTTTGGATGACTTCCAACTGAGAGAAGACTACACATTGGGGGGGTGTCAGCTGATCTGGTACGGCTGCATCACATGTGGCCACTTGTTCATCCTGGGGAGAAATCATAGCCCACACGGGGTCAGCGGGACCCAAGCTAAAGCCCTTGTCTCAGATGCTGTGATTGCCTGGTACAACCAGCACTTAGCAGGCAGCTGTTGTGTGTGGACGCGAGGCATCAGCTGTGTGAGCTCAAGGCGCCTCAGCTGCCGGGGCCACATTGTTGACGAGAAGTAGCTAGTATGACACCGCAGACAAGTCTAAGCCACTTAGCCCTCTCCTTGGGTTTTAGCCTTGCTATTGAAATACAAAGGAAAATTTCCCTTTTCCCGATCGATCCTGTGAAGGCAGAGAAATGGAATTGGAGGGATCACAGATAGACGATCCGCAAACTGCTTCAGATCCAGCCCCGCTCAACACTGACTGAAAAATGTTCCTATTTGAAGCCCATTCAGTGGTGTGAGTGGAATAATTCGGTGGCTCTTGGTTCACAACACAATTGATGGTCGGTGGCATCTGCAGGCTGAGAAGCCAGTTTGGGACCTTGTATCTCACCCTGTTAACCCATCCACAGCAGCCCTGAGACAGCCACAGCATGCCTTGCCTGATTGGGTGGAAACTGGATTTTTAAGCAGTGATGACTGGTCCGCATAAACTGATCAAGCTGCATTTAGCCCTATTTGAGCAGAAGCCCTTTAGTCCTTGTTTAAAAACCATTTCCAGCCTGGTAAAACCGCAGAAAGGCTGGAGCCTTCTTGAGCGCAGCTGGTTCCTATCTAGATCTCATGGGAATTTCCAGAGTACCCACAAGCCAGTCTTTGAGTGCACCCTTACTAAACTGGACAGCTGGAAGTGCATGATAACAATCCCTTGTGCTGTGTGTTAATCCTCAGACCTTGGAGGAAATTGCTGAGATGGAAGAGGACATCCGACGCCTCGAGGAAGATCTCAGGAAGAAAATGTGGGATCTGAAACTCGCGCACACTCGCCTGGAGACCCGGACTTACCGCCCCAACATGGAGCTGTGTCGGGATCAGGTACAGATGAGCCTGTAGGCTGGGGGTGGGGTGGGATGGATACTAACCTGGCATGCCCATTGTCCATGAGGGATTTGAGGTTGAGGGTGGAACCCTAGATAGAGCTTCTATGGCTCCGAAATGATCAGACACCTTTAGATGCGGACTGAATGGAGACTAAAAGATGAATAAAAAGGAATCCACTATACTGTGTGAGTTAAAGCATCGAAAGAAAGGGGGGAGGTGGGCTAAGGGAAGGGGAACTTAGGGGAACCTAGCAACTAACAAAAACCAGTACCAGCGGTACTAACCCTTATGTCCTGTCCCTGACTTGTAGGTGCAGTATGGGTTAACTGATGAGGTCCATCAGCTGGAAGGCACCATCGCCGCCCTGAAGCAGAAGCTTGCACAGTCACAGTATGTTTCTATGTGGTTTGGGAGTTACGCATCCAAGGAAGAATAATGACATTAACAGGCACGAGAAGGCTTTGTAACGTTCCTAGCAGGGGGCGCTGCAGGTCAGAAATAGGGTGCCTTGTTAGAGCTGTGTGGGAAGCTCCAGACTGGACAGCAGGGGGCGCTGCAGGTCAGGATTGGCAGAGCTGGTATGGGGTGGTGTGACTACACTTAGAAAATTATCGAAAGGTGGGGGGAAATTGGGGAAATGGAAATGCTGCCTTGGGTTCGTGTTGGATTCCCATCACCGCGTCTCTTGGATGCTGCATTCCAGCAGCAGCAGCCTGTGGGCTTGCTATTAAAGAGACCTGAGCAATAAAGTACAATGTGTCAGGAGCTTCCTCTGCAGCTCTGGTGTGCGTGAGCTTGAAGGCAAAAGCTGTGCTGGTTTTTGTTGTGGTGAGAAAGCAGAGACTGATTAATTGTCATCAACGCCAGGAGGCAAGTTCAGTGGCACAGATGCAGCCCTGACTCCTTAACTTTTGCTTTTCCCAGGGATGCCCTAGACGCTCTCTATAAACACCTGTACCGCATCCAAACAGATACGAGCTACAAAGCTAACTCCCTGATGCTGGACAACAAGTGCATGGACAGCAGGAGAAAACTCACAGTCCCCGCTGAGAAATTTGTGCCAGAGGTTGACACCTTCAACCGAACCACTAACCGTACCCTCTCACCGCTGAAGAGCAGGCAGCTGGAGCTGGCTTAATCCACTGGGAACAGCATTGGGCAAAGGAGCCACTCTGAAGATAAAACTCCTAGAGACTCAGTTCCATACCAAGGAAAGCTGACATCTGTCTCGTGTTAGAACAATGTTATTCTCCTGCCCCCAAAGTTGTTTTATAACTATCTGTCCCCTGCGTGATTTGTATAGCTTCTTGCACTCCAAGGAGCATTATAAATAATAAAGTCTGTCCCCAAGAGCACTTGTCATCTGACAGCATTGGAAGCATTTTACGATGATTGAATCCATGTAGGCTGTCTAAGGTTTTAAATCCTTTAAAGTGCGGGGCTGTGCTCTGAAAAGGAACTGTGTAACATGGCACCTCTCCAGATCATCTTCCTGTGCTGATAGATTCAGATCTGCCTGCCTTAATGTTTAAAATAACATTGTGGGGTTTTTGTCTCCTTCTCTTAGCCCTGCAGAGCCAACACTGCTACGAACGAGGGAGCTGGAGTCCACTCTGGCTCTTGTGGCAACAGCCTTGTTAACCTAAGAGCAAGTTCCATAGTCGCTATGGGCCCTTAGTTGTTGTGTGTGTCCCAGCAGTGCTCACTCACCATATGCTAGGTCCTGTCTACACACCCAAAAATACAAAGTTGCTGTGCCAGAGAGCTTGCAATCTAAACTTGTTATGCGTGTGAAATTGGGATCAGCATTTGGCCTGCCGCCTTGTCTGTCTCTGGCTCATTCTTTATCACCAGCATTAAATGTGTTTATGGTGTGCAGATGCTACAGCCGTGGGCCCTGTAGAAAGGAACCCAGCTTGATTTCCAGATGTCAAGGTGAGTTTGCAGGACCGGAATTCAGGGGAAACCCAACATCTTCATACCTGTCAACTAGGGATCAACTTAGGCAGGTTCATGGCATGTCTACCAGCCTGGGATTTTTCATAGTGGCTGCTGTCTTCCGCTCTAGAATCTAAGCATTCACTTTATTAAAAAGTCCTGTCTACTCTGGGGTTTCTAGCCACAGTCTGGGGGTTATGCAAATCCCTCGTGTAACAGTGTAGGTATAGGTTTCAGAGTAGCAGCCGTATTAGTCTGTATTCGCAAAAAGAAAAGGAGGACTTGTGGCACCTTAGAGACAAACAAATTTATTTGAGCATAAGCTTTCGTGAGCTGCAGCTCAGTTCATCGGATGCATTCAGGTATAGTATTGTAAAGAGGCACTTGTACTATGCCTCGGTTAGGCATTTGCACTACAGTAGCTATACTGGTGGCTAAAAACCCGGGCTAGACACAGCGTCGGTCGAGTCCTTGGGGTAGCGTAGGAAACCTGCTATCAGGGACCCAGCTATAAACTAATGTAATGTTTCAGAGTAGCAGCCGTGTTAGTCTGTATCAGCAAAAATAACGAGGAGTCCTTGTGGCACCTTAGAGACTAACAAATTTATTTGGGCATAAGCTTTCGTGGCTTAAAACCCACTTTGTCAGATGCATGGAATTAAAATATAGGAGCAGGTATAAATATATGAAAGGATGGGGGGTCAAGTGGAAACGGGGAAAGTGTGAGGTCAGTCTAACAAGATAAATCAATTAACAAGGGAGGAAAAATAAATTTTGAAGTAACAGTAAGGAAAAATTAATATTGGGGAAATTAAGTCTAGGTTTTGTAATGACCCAACCACTTCAAAAGTTATTTTTCCTCCCTTGGTATCCTGCTGTTAATTGATTTATCTCATTAGACTGACCTCACACTTGGTAAAGCAACCCCCATCCTTTCGTGTATTTATACCTGCTCCTGTATTTTCACTCCATGTATCTCATGAAGTGGGTTCCAGCCCATGAAAGCTTATGCCCAAACAAATGTTAGTCTCTAAGGTGACACAAAGATTCCTCGTTGTTTTTAATGTAATGTTGTTGGCGGTAGGCTCCAGGCAGCCTGAAACAACTGCTTTGAGGGGTATGAACTGCTCTAGTTCTCAGCTGGGGTCACCTCTCAAGCCTAATGGGATTAGGGTGACCCGCTGTCCTGATTTTATAGGGACAGTCCCCCTATTTTGGGCTTTTTCTTAGATAGGTGCCTATTCCCCCCCTAACCGCCTCCCGATTTATCATACGTGGTGTCTGGTCACCCTAAATGAGATTTAAATATCACTAGTGATAACTCCTTCACTGTGGATCCAAGTCTGGAGGAAAAAGGAAGGGCAAGAAGGTAGGAGCACCCCGCGGTGAGTGCTGCTGAGCGACCTCTTCTCCCCCCAGCCCCATGCCCAGGGCACAGACCCCAACCTCCCTTGGGGTCCAGCAGGAGCTTCCTCTGCTCCTGAGCCGGGGGCCACCTCCAGTCTTCTCCCCTTGGGGCCCCACCCCCACCCCTCCCAAATCCTAGCCCCACCTGACCCCTGCCCTCTGCTTGGGCCCCGCCCCTCCTAGGTCGCCACTCCCCCAGGCCCTAGCCCCGCCCCCTGCTCTAGCCCCGCCCTCCCCTGGAACCACGCCCCCTTCCCCTCAGGTCGCCACTCCCCCAGGCCCTAGCCCCGCCCCCTGCTCTAGCCCCGCCCTCCCCTGGAACCACGCCCCCTTCCCCTCAGGTCGCCGCTCCCCCAGGCCCTAGCCCCGCCCCCTGCTCTAGCCCCGCCCTCCCCTGGAACCACGCCCCCTTCCCCTCAGGTCGCCGCTCCCCCAGGCCCTAGCCCCGCCCCCTGCGCTCGGCCGGAGGAAGATGGCGGCGGCGCTGGCGGGCGGCTCCCTGGGCCGGGTCCCCGCGCGGCTCCCCCCGGCCCGCGGCCGGTTCCGGGGCTGCCTGGCCGGGGCGCTGCTCGGGGACTGCCTGGGCGCCGCCTTCGAGGGCAGGGACGTGGTGGGGCTGCCCGAGCTGCTGCGCTACCTCCGCGGCCTGGAGCCGCCGGGCCGGGCTGGGGGCAGCGCCCAGGAGGCGGAGAGCAGAGGTGGGGGCCGGGCCGGGGGTGGGGCTCACGCCGCCGGGGGTCCCTCCCCGTCCCCTCCCCCGCACCCCCTGTGTCCCGTTCCCCCCCGCACCCCCTGAGTCCCGTTCCCCCTGTGTCCCGTTCCCCCTGTGTCCCGTTCCCCCTCCCTCGCGGGGCCTGAACCCCCCCCCCGCACCCCCTGTGTCCCGTTCCCCCCCCGCACCCCCTGTGTCCCGTTCCCCCTCCCTCGCGGGGCCTGAACCGCACCCCCTGTGTCCCGTTCTCCCTCCCTCGCGGGGCCCGAGCCCTGAGTGTCTGGAAATACAGCCAAGTCTTTTACACTCCAGATTCACAGAGAATTCCCCTGGCAGTAGAGAAATGGGATTGGGATTCTAGAGGGGCAATGGGACCTCTTGGTGTTTGGATGATCATCTGGTATTTTTGCCTTCTCTTTCAGAAACGCTCTGCTACACAGATGACACAGCCATGGCCAGGTGTGTGGTGCGGTCCCTGTTAGCCAAGGGAGAGTTTGATGAAGTTGACATGGCCAGGAGGTAAGGAGCTGCAGTCAGCACAACAGGGAGATCTGTGTTGCTTTTGCAAATAATAGAGAGTGAAAGCTAAGCAGCCACTTTGAGCTGTTCCCATTCAGTCCAAGAAAGTGCAGAGGAATTCCGTCTGAAGTGGCTGCCTATTTGTGTGGAAAGACTAAAAAGAGCATGGCCCCAATGCTGCAATTTGGCCTGTGCCTGCAGGGTTTGTGCCCTACTAGATTCTCATTGACTTCAGTGTTATTAGAGCGGCATCTCAAATCTGATGTTGAAACTAAACGGGGAAAACTGTCAATGTACCACTTGTGTTGTAAGCAAACAAGTTCGTATACTTTTGTTGTTAAAAGCAGTTCAGTTTTTCAGAATTGTTTCCTTTCTAGTGTACTTATTGGTTTGTATACTGTTTCCTTTTTGCACTTCCCTGAGCTTTGGGCAATGAAAATCCATGAAGTCAGTTTGTTTTATAGTCAGTTTCCCTTTCAGATACTTGGTGCTGAAGTGTTTGGGTTTCAAATGCTGAAAGGCAAAGGTTTAATTGTTTAAAAACTGCCTTCATTGGACTTGAACAAACAATATTTCTGCCTACGTGTGACTAGTAAAAATGTTTCCAGTTATTTTTTAAAGTATATCTTAAAACAATCAAAAAGTCAAGAGCTGAAACCAGTGATTTCCACAAATAGATGTAGTTAGTACAACCACAGGGTCCAACCTCTGTTATCCTCATCCACCCAGGTCTTTGGAGCAGGGATTTTTCTTTCTATGGTACATATTTGTACAGCACCTAGCGCAGTGGGGCCATGATACTTGCTGAGATCTCTGGATGTTACTCTGATGCAAATAATAATAAGGCTTTATAAAAGCTTCTTTCAAAAAAAGATTTTAGTAGCAGACCAAATGTAAGTTGACACTGTCCTTGTCCAGTGTGGTTTTTCTAATTCCTGTGTAATTGCTGCTGTTTTACCTTTGGCAGATTTGCTGAGGAGCATAAGAAGGAGCCGGATCGGGGCTATGGGATGGCAGTCGTCAAAGTGTTCAAGAAACTTCTGAGCCCCAAGTGCAGTGATGTGTTTGAGCCAGCCCGAGTGCAGTTTAATGGGAAAGGCTCCTACGGGAACGGTGGTGCTATGAGGGTAGCAGGCATTTCGCTGATTTACCCAGATGTTCAGGATGTGAAGAAGGTGCATTGCAGGGGGGTTGTTCAGGCACTGGGGCACCCAGATCTCTGCTGATGGGATGGGGTTTGGTGATTATCTTTCACTCTGGTTTCCAAATGATTTTTTTTTAATCCACAGTTTGCGAAGCTCAGCGCTGAGTTGACCCATGCCAACTCACTTGGCTATAACGGAGCCATCCTGCAGGCTCTGGCAGTGCACTTGGCCTTGCAGGGAGAGCTCAGCCGGGAGAGCTTCCTGGAGCAGCTGATCGGCCACATGGAGGATGTGGAGGCAGATGATAAATCTTTGGCTGATGCACGAGCGTAAGTAGGGCTGAGTAAGCCCCTCTACTAGTTGCATTGTGTCCCCCATATGGATTTTGATCTAGTTCACAGCAGTGTCTTTCTCTTGACTCTGTACAGCTGTCTACCTAATCATAGAATCATAGAATATAAGGGTTGGAAGGGACCCCAGAAGGTCATCTAGTCCAACCCCCTGCTCGAAGCAGGACCAATTCCCAGTTAAATCATCCCAGCCAGGGCTTTGTCAAGCCTGACCTTAAAAACCTCTAAGGAAGGAGATTCTACCACCTCCCTAGGTAACGCATTCCAGTGTTTCACCACCCTCTTAGTGAAAAAGTTTTTCCTAATATCCAATCTAAACCTCCCCCACTGCAGCTTGAGACCATTACTCCTCGTTCTGTCATCTGATACCATTGAGAACAGTCTAGAGCCATCCTCTTTGGAACCCCCTTTCAGGTAGTTGAAAGCAGCTATCAAATCCCCCCTCATTCTTCTCTTCTGCAGGCTAAACAATCCCAGCTCCCTCAGCCTCTCCTCATAAGTCATGTGTTCCAGACCCCTAATCATTTTAGTTGCCCTTCGCTGGACTCTCTCCAATTTATCCACATCCTTCTTGAAGTGTGGGGCCCAAAACTGGACACAGTACTCCAGATGAGGCCTCACTAATGTCGAATAGAGGGGAACGATCACGTCCCTCGATCTGCTCGCTATGCCCCTACTTATACATCCCAAAATGCCATTGGCCTTCTTGGCAACAAGGGCACACTGCTGACTCATATCCAGCTTCTCGTCCACTGTCACCCCTAGGTCCTTTTCCGCAGAACTGCTGCCTAGCCATTCGGTCCCTAGTCTGTAGCTGTGCATTGGGTTCTTCCGTCCTAAGTGCAGGACCCTGCACTTATCCTTATTGAACCGTATCAGATTTCTTTTGGCCCAATCCTCCAATTTGTCTAGGTCCTTCTGTATCCTATCCCTCCCCTCCAGCGTATCTACCACTCCTCCCAGTTTAGTATCATCCGCAAATTTGCTGAGAGTGCAATCCACACCATCCTCCAGATCATTTATGAAGATATTGAACAAAACCGGCCTCATAGATTGCATTCTGTCCTGTCTCGATGATGTTCTGTGCATGGGAAGTGAGATTTTCCTTCATGTCATTAGGCTGTGTTTTGATTTTAGCTGCATGGCTTTTCCTGTGACTGGGAAACTCATGTGTTTGAAAAATACAGACTCATTGCCTCTCTCTAGAAGCAGCTTGCAGAGCCTTTCTTGCCACACACTCAGCTGCCATGAGCACATCTCCCAGTGTGAATGTCCTTAGAGTGAGGAATGAGAAACTCCTCCAGGTTCCATTTCCCTCTGCCTCTCCCCCTCAGTCCAAACCAGTTCCTTTATGGAGTGGAAGAGTGTGGCTGTGATTCATAAAAGCCGTCCAGTCAGTTGGGATATTGCTCTGATGGCTGCATGCTGCTAGGTCTAGCTTCTCCTCCCTGTTCCATAAGCAATTTGTGAGACTTCATAGAATCATAGAATCACAGAGTTGGAAGGGACCTCTGGAGGCCATCTAGTCCAATCCCCTGCCCAGAGCAGGACCAATCCAACTAAATCATCCCAGCCAGGGCTTTGTCAAGGAAATCCCCTTCTAAGGAAGGGGATTCCACCACCTCCCTAGGTAACGCATTCCAGTGTTTCACCATCCTCCTAGTGAAAAAGTTTTTCCTAATATCCAACCTAAATCTCTCCCCACTGCAACTTGAACTTCAGTTCGTCCTCTTCCCATATCTGGCCTTTCCAAGAGAGTGGACTTGCTGCAGACTGGTAAGATGGGTCCTTTTCTCTCCTCTGAAGCCCTCATTCATTCATTTCAGTTTGACATGCTCTCAGAACAGCTTTGCTTTGAGGTTCTTGCTCGTTCTCCGCATTTGTACAGGAGATCTCAGTAGACAAGGCCATGGTTCAAACACCTGGAAATGTGGGAAGATTCACTCCTATAGCCGCATATATATAGCCACTAATGTTTCGTCTTCTGGAAGGTCTGCCTCCTGGGAGCCCTCTGGACACCTCTTCACATGCTGGATTGTATTAGATCAAATCATGCAGATTGCTCCCTGGTGGCAGGAAGGGAGAAGTCACTGGAGCAGAGCATTTGTTACATTCCTGTCTCTTGTCTCCAGGATGGGTTTTGAGGAATTACCATTTTCAAGGCGTCTTAAGAAGATCAAGGAATTTTTGGAGCTTAGCACCATTCCTAAGTCAGATGTATTGCTTGAGTTAGGTAAGCACCTTTCTTCCTACAGGGATTCCGGAAAAGCCATGGGGCTGGGCCAGCTTAGGGAGCCTGTGGTTAGTGCTTTCCTGGATTTCTTGCTCGCCAGACCAGCGGGGGTTGGATGTGTTGCAAAGACTTCTTGTGCACTCCCTGTGGAGTGCACAAGTAAGTGTGTGAGTCACTCTGCAATGACTCCCTCCCCGAGGGCAGCCTTGGTGGATGAAAGGCTATCTTTCCAAGAGAATAATAATGCCTAATTTTCCAAGATCTCCTGTTAATGACAGTCCGTCAGTCAGAACTTCCTTCTGGACACCTGGCAACCCAGGGATGTTACAGGTTAGGCTGTGCATGGGCTAGTTCGGTGCATGTTCCCTGACTGGAGTGGTAGGGGCATGCTGATCAGGAACGAGACCAGCGGAGAGCATGGGATGGAAGGAAACTTGCATAGCATCTATTCACACTTCAGCTAGCTTGAAGCAGCCATATTAAAGTTTGAAATTGCCGTAAGACAAGCTCATGAACTAAAGGGAAGGGATTCTGTTGTGGAAGGTTAGAGATGTAACTGTCCTGCTCTGTCACTGAGTGTGGTTGGTTTCATTAACAGGCAATGGCATTGCTGCTCTGGAGTCTGTCCCCACTGCGATTTACTCCTTCTTGCGCTCCATGAAATCTGACCCAGATATTCCTCATCACTACAACAACCTACAGAGGGTCATCATCTACTGCATCTCGCTGGGTGGAGACACAGATACTATAGCTACCATGGCTGGAGCCATTGCAGGAGCGTATTATGGGGAGGAGCAGGTACCCCCGTGCTGGGAGCAGAGCTGCGAAGCTTTTCAAGAGACAGAGATGCTGGCAAATAGCTTGCACGAACTCTACAGCCAACGACTTTGAGCCACAGAAGTGGTGTCTTGTGCCAAGGTTAAAGCAAGTGGCTACCTCTGCCTCACTGATCAGATCCATAGCAAATGGGTCGACCTTGTCTTTAATGATCTGCATCCTGGTCAACTCCAGAATGGCACTTGTTGTCATGTGTCGTATGGTAGAAGTGAGACTTGGACCTTGTTTTTCTGTTACAATTGATCTGGAGGGTGCTTGCACGGAGAGCTTTGGACGATGGAATTTGTCCCACCAAAGCACAAAGGCAATATCTGGTTTCTGATGAGATTTCTGCTTCTTACCAAGGCCGCCTCTCCTGTCAGTGTCTCGTTCTGTCATACGACTTGTCCAAGCTTCCTGGGTCTAAATTCAGGAACCATCTTCCTGTCATCTGTTTCCAGATTCCACAGACTTCTATTTAGATGTTCACAGTCTAACCTTCAGGAAGCACTTGGGTTGCGCTGTACCCATCTTTCAATTCTTTTGTTGTCTTTACTCTCTGCATTACACCTGTGCCTGACTCCCTAAACTTTCGATTGCTTTATGCACCAGTTTGCGACCTTCCAGAATGCTGCTCTTGCTTTGCTCTCCTCCCAGTGCCTAATCAGTAGTGTGCTATGCTTGCACCCCATTCTGTACACCTGGTGTCCAGTGCATGTGGCTAGGTCACTAGTAAATCAGTGGGAAGAGATGTAGTAAAACCTAGTGGTACCTTAGGCCTAAATCTTGGTCCCAGGGAAGTCAGTGACAAAAATTCGAGTGACTTCTGTGGGAAGAGGATGCAACTCTAATTGCTTTCAACCTCTGCACATGGTTGGGATTGTCTATAAGTGGACAGAAGGACAGTTTCAGTTGAGAATTCACTTCTGTTAAGAAAGGGCTCATGTACTAGGAGACCCTACAAATGGTAGAGGATGTATTAGAAAACAGTGTTCTGCAGCAGGGTGTTTAAAAATGTGCCCAGTCAAGCAGGCAGAGAGGAAATAATCTGAGTCTGTATGCAAGCTGAATTGTGTAAATAATGTGTTTTGAAATGTCTATAGTAATTACAGAAAACAAAGAAATAAAAACCATCCTGTTTGCAGGCAGCTATCATATGGAATTGGGTATAAATCCAAATGTTCCAAAGTAATTTTACATATATATATTTTACTAAAGCTGGGAAGTGAACACATTACTAATAGGGGGCTTATTTCCTGCTGATGTCTGCAGAAAGTTATTGTGTGTACATATGAACAATCTGGTTGTAATTGGGTTATTCCTCACCTTTCCTGTACTTTGCTTCCCTAGAGTACCAGTCTGTTGCGTGAAGCTTTAATGGATTTTCCGTATACACACGACTATTTGTCCTATAAATATGTGGAATTATGGGCCCACTATATTTATAGACTATGCTGCAGATCTGAGAAGTAAAACATGTCTTCAAGAGATTCTGCAAGAGACTTCAGAATTTTCAAGGAAGACATTTAAAAACAAATTTTCTGTTTAAACTGATCTTGTTTTTCTTTTGAATGCAAAGAAATTGTGGAGCTTGCACAAGTTAGCTGTTTATAAATTCTAGATTTTCCTAAGCTAGGATTGAAATGTGCACCATAAAACATGCAGAGGCTGTTTTTCTTAAAAGTAATCAAATCACTTAGGATCGTTGAAGGAAAATACAGGAACAGTGGCTAATTATCAAAGTAAAGGAGTTGTGTTGCATAAGTCAGCCATTAGCCTGGAGGCTTACCTGACCTCAGCCTCTTTAGGTAGCAAACTAAAGTTTGGATGACTTGGACAAAGAGATGTTCTTTATACGTGCTTCGCCTGTGGAGCCTTTCCTAGCTGGGGTAGAAATTCCTGACCGTTCAACTGTAGCTGAACTTGGAAC